AGAGAGAGAGAGAGAGAGAGAGAGAGAGAGAGAGAGAGATTTATGCACACACCAGCAAAAACTCCATTACATTCTCCACTCCAATAAAGAATGTAATAATACATTCATGTCAAAATAAGGGGGAAAAAGAAAGTTTGTAACAACAACCCCCCATGTAAAACCACCTTATTACATAGTAATCTGCACACCATCAACATAGCAAACTATGTGTATCACGCTACCCACCACATGATACATCTCTTTGGTTCAACATCCTATTCCTATATTTAATCTCCCTAAAGGGCAACATCTATGTATAAGTTGCATTTTGATCACTAAAGAGTTTTTAGTGTTGGTTGTCTTGTCTCTCCTTCTATTTACATCAGGCTTAATTAGCCAAGAAAAAAACTTTTGGAACAGAGGATAACCGTATCCAACTTCCAATGAACAACGACGCAAAAAAAAAATAAAACAATTCAGTCACACACAACACGCAGGATGCAGATCATAAGCGGTTGATCTTCACAAGAAAAAAGTAGGATGCTTCCCGTAGCACCCTAGGATTTCCCAAACGAGATCTACTCGAGCCCACTTGGAAAAAAAAAAATCAGGTCGAGATGCTGCAATCCAAAAAACCAAAGAACTCCCAAACCAAAAATAAAAAAATAAAAATCTCTACACTTCAAAAGAAACTCCCACGTCTATCATTGTGGTGATTTTTGAACTCTGCAAGAGATTTTGTCATAGGCAGTGAAGAAGGGACCTTTTGCAGGCTCGATGTTGATAAGGATTGGCAACTGGAGTCGGGGAACTTAAGTCCATTCCCAGTGTCTTCATCAGAAAGTGCTTTTCCTGCAAAATGCATGGAAAAAAGGTGACGAAAAATTTCTTCCTTGTCCTAAGTTAAGTGTTATGAAAATCCCAAATTTTGTCCCTTACGAGCAGAAAAATGTCGTTTGACGAACAATTCATTAGACAACATCCGAATCATCACAACTTTGAAGAAGCTATATGTTGAAGAACGGGAAAAATAAGAACAATTAGACTGCTCTTGGAGAAGCTATGCAGCCCCAATATGCTAAAGTTTGAAAATAGATGCCCAATAACACACTTGGAAATTTTTCAGAGTTGTTCATCAGTACAAGTTCTCTGTCTACTTTGAGCATATTTATTAGGTCCGATTTTGTAGAAACTAAGAGTATCTGCAAACTCTACTTGGATGATTGGATATGGAAAGAACTCATTTTTAGCTGACCAGTCAAGATTTATGTCATTGAGTTGTGAATTGAAACAAATTTTTCAATTTCATCCCATTTCACCTTTTTCTCTACAATCACACTAGCACAATTTAGAAAATAAAAATCAAACATTATTATACATTTTCCATTTTCCAACAGAAAAGACTCTTCAGTATTCACACTCCCTTATTTCCAACTACTAATTACTTAATCAAACCATATTTTATCATCTTATATCACATCGATTTTAATCACCAGTTTTATCTCACGTCCACTCACAATCTCAAATATATCTCACTTTACTTAAAACGACATTTTCCACTTCCCCGTCTCATTTTTTGGGCGAGACAAAATTTTTCAAAAAACCTCATTTCCATTAACTTTCTGGCAGCTTCTAAATGGAAAAGAAACTCATTTTCCCTTCCAGTTAGAAGCTGAGATTCACATTTTCTCTTTTCTTTTGTTCAAGAAAAATAATCCAGAGGCCACTTGTCTGCTGCTCCAGAATGATAAAAAGTTTAGGGCTTTGGTCGCGTTTATTGTTCACCAAATCAAGCATCAGCACTCATTGCTGGAAGTTGTAAAAAATTAATCCTTATAGCTTACCTACGGTTATGTATCTCCATATAGTGGTGCAACAATGTAGAGATATGCATATGTAGCATAACTCGAGAGTCAAGACAAGGTTTCAACTCATATAACTAACTCATGCCACTGCAAAATTTGATTTTCTTGCTTATTTCTACAAGACACATTTTTGAGATAATTTAATGAACTAAAGCAAGCAACAACGAAAATATTCCTTGCATTGACATGCAGCACTGAGAATGTTGTGTATAAAGTTAAAACTGCTTAGAATTATAAAGCTCATATATTTTTTGCTTACGCTTTCAGAAAATTTTGGGCTGGGAATTGCTGCTGCTACTGCTCTAAACAAAGGGGTCACGTGAACGGGGGATCTGAATTCGGTGTCAGAATATTCACATACTCCATCATTTTTAGCTTCGATGCCATCACATGTTAATATGTTCACTGCAACCAAAGAAAAGAAGTTATTAGCTTGAAACAAGAATGAGTTGAACTAATTACAGATACTACACTTGACATTTACACTAATTATGATATAGAAAAATTCATTTATGTCTCAAAATAACAACGGGCAAAAGATATATATGTTTTAAGTTTAGGAATTACATCGCTCATCTTTGTAAAGAATACAAACCTTAAAAGAAAACCTTTTGATTTTCAAATGATAGCTGAATTTTGTAATAATTATCTTTATATTTTACCTGCATTTGTGCTTGCAGTTGAGCAAAGTCCAGTTTCCTCAGCAAGACAATTATGACCGGGTATATGATTTGATTGAAATTCATGTTCAGTGTCTTGATTTAGCACACATATTTCAGCTTGACAGTCTTCCATTTTATCACCTGGCATATTTGGCAGCATAGTCGAGCCAGTACTGTACTCGGAACTGGCTGGTGATGATTCATATACATCGTCTTCCCTGCATTATTCTCACTTAGATAAAATGATCTTAATTATTATTTTTTTTTTAAAAAATTATTCAACAAATATGTATTACCTCCAAGAAGGTCTACTGCCTTCAGTACTGCTCCTCAAATCATCCACCAACTCTTTCAGCTTCTCAAGTTGAATATCAGTATCCAGATTTCCAAATTCGACCAACTCACTTCCTTTAGTTTGTCTCAGAAAATCTTGAAGGGCCTGGACCACATTTATCGTCAAACTTAATGAGTCTCAATAAATGAAAAACGTAACCATTGTGAAAATTGTTGATGGCATCAGCAAACTCGGAATATATGTTTGTCATAGCTGAAAAATGTTACCATTGTAAAAATGTTTTCAAGTAAGGCTGAAAAGGGGACAGAAAACCTTAAATTTGTCATAGCTATACTTTCTTAAACTAAAGCAAAATATGTTCTCCACAATTTGGATTAAAAGATGACAACTTTTTTGAAACATTACTATTATGAAAAAATTAAGTTTCTTCAATCTCCTATTACTTACCTTCCAGGCACTTTCGAGACTCTGGTCTGTCTTATCCAAGTTAACTTTGATCGCCAGTGAACTAAGTAATTCTGCTTGTTGCAACAGTGCAAGCACCTTTGGATCATCCTTCTTAAGAAATGTTCCTTGAATTTCATTATTTTTGGCTGCATGAGTAAAAACAAAAATATTGATTAAGTCCACTTTAAATGAAATTATCTGTAAGCTAAAAAGAAAAAACCTCAAGCGGGTGTTTTAAGACCTTTTAAGGGGTTAAAATAAAATTGTAATGCAAAGGGCCATCAATTTCTTTTTGTAGTTATGCTAAGCCTCAATCAGTTTTAGCACTACCCTTTAGCATCTTCATTCAATTCATTACCTTCTAATCCGACTTTTTTGGTACTCACTGTCAAATCTAATACAGTTTCTAGTCACTCAAACTTACATTTGTCTATCGATGCCTCCATCTGGTTCATGAGCAGATGGGTGTTTAATTTAAAATCACAATTTTGTACATTTTCAGCTATCACCGCAAATGGGGACCTCAGCAAATGATTCTCCAAGCCCGATTCGCCTCCTAGTTTTTCTTCTCGACTTTCTGTTGAGCTAGAAAAATAGGCCCTGATAAAAAAAAAAAAATAATGAGTAAAATTGTTAATTCTACAAAAGTACATTTATCCCAGGAATATATTTCAGAACAAGAAAAGTGGCTACTTGATATACCTCATCTTTTTAACTGGGACGGTACTTTCAGCTCCTCCATTTGGGAATATGACCCTTTTGTTGTTTAAGTTGATATAGGAACTTTGGCTGTTTTCTTTAGCTAAAGCTTCGTGTTTTGCTCTCTTCTTGCACAATGTGGTGAATCGATTTTTCACAGCATTATCAGTTCTGAGAAAATAAAAGGACAATTGTTTCTTACAAACTATGGCTTCCTTTTTTTTTTCATTTTCAACTAAATTTGTAATAATTCAAGATCACTTACCTGCCCGAGACCACTTTTGCAATCTCGGTCCATCTGTTCCCAAATATCTTCTGTGCCTGAGAGCCACTTAAAGGATTAGATCGTATTCACGAGCAATATATGAAAATGTAAAATGATTTTTAGATATGCAAAATGCAAAAGTTAAGACACTAATACACCATATCCTTTTTACCCACTCAAGAATCAAATTGCATAATCAGCCAATCAAAAGTTTCTCAAAAAAGCAATAGTTACAGAACAAAGGAGAGGGATCAATTAAACTTAGAACAAAAAGAACTTTTCGGAGAGTATTATTGATAAAAGAAAATTCCAGTACGAGCTTCGTAATCACTGCACTTACGACATAATCAGTCGATGAAAAGTTCTACAAAAAACACTCAGTAACAAAACAAAGAAGGGATCTACTTACAGAAAGAGAATTTTATTGATAAAAGATCCCATTCACAAGCTTCATAGAGTGTTGCAATAAAAATGGGGAAGCAATCAAAATTTATCACCTCACATAGGAGCAAGTCCTCCTCAGGTGACCATCCTCCTTTCTTAAAATCAGAATTCAAATAAGTGAACCATCTGAAAAGTAAATAAGATTCAAAATCAGTCACCGATATAAAAAAAAATATATATATATCTAAAATCAGATATCTTCAGAAATTGAATTAAACTAGATGAAATTTGGCAATGAAACATATAGCTATCGGGGCCGGTTCATGTCGACCAACCTTCTTCGGCACTGCCTTGTCGTTTTATCTTTAAATTTCGACGCGATAATAGTCCAACTGAAACAAAAAAGGCACAACAAAACATTAACCTCCACAAAACACCCAATAGTCAAGTGATTACAGCAATAACGAAATACAAATGGAAAATAGAAAGAATCAAGATTATCTATTTTAAATACTTTTCAGTTCCATGGACTCTGATTTGCTCTCTCAGAATATCATCCTCCTGAAAAACACTCACATATATCTTAGCAGTTGAAATAAAAACTTGACATCAGCTATTGAAAATGATAAATTACAGAAGAAGA